GTATGCGTGTGACCCCCATCGCCACCGAATAACCCCAGCTATCCCCATGAGAAACCTACACCCTAAACCCTAAACCCCTAAACCCTAAACCCTAAACCCTAAGACCCTAAACCCTAAGACCCTAAACCCTAAGACCCTAAAGTCCCCCTGAGCCCTACACGGGAAAGGCCATGGAGGTCATGAGCTTGGGAAACAGGAACCGGCATCAGGCGGGATGTGGTCGATTCTTTAGGGTTTAGGGTCTTAGGGTTTAGGTCTTAGGGTTTAGAGTTTAGGGTTTAGGGTCTTAAGGTTTAGGGTCTTAGGGTTTAGGGTTTAGCGTTTAGGGTTGGGGCTAGCCCCAAACCCCAAACCATCAAACCAAATCCCTAAACTCTATATAGCCCTATATCCCCGTAGATAATCCTCTAGTATGCAGTTCCCTACATTAGGTATGTTGGGTACCGGTCTTCCTAAAACCTGGAACCCGGGATGTTGGGGGCGAACCCTAAACCCTAAACCCTAAACCCTAAACCCTAAGGGAGGGCTTGGGGATGGTGGTATCAGGTGCTGCTTGGTGTTAGAGACATCGAGTGGGTCATTGTTGAACATAACTTTTTATGCTGCCGGCAAATCCATAGGGAGAATAACACAACGGCCTACTCCTCTGAACCCTAAGCCCAAAAACCAAAAAAACAAGTAAACCCTAAGCCCTAAACCCTAGAATCAGATGCCGTGTGTCTGTCTGTGTGTTTAGAAAGTCAGGCTTCAGTTCCGGGCTTTCAGGTTCAGTGTTTCACATCAAGGGGTCTTCAGAATTAGGACAAGGGTAAGGCCTAGAAGAGCACTTCCGCCATTATTGCGGATCATGTAGGAGGAGCCCCCATCCTGCACAACTGGTATAATAGTAGAATATAGGAGGACCCTAATATGATCCTTATTATCCCTTATAGTCACTATTACTGGGTGGGGGGTCCACCTAATGGATCATGTAGTGAATATTGTAGGTTGGATACTGCCGCCACTCATTAAGAGATGGATAACATTTAGAATATGACTATACCATACCTAGGGCCTCCAAAGCTTAAAAAAAAGAAAAACAGCAACCTGGTTACTCGCCAAAAAAACTTGGGTTTCTCGGGAATGATTTTAAGCAATCTTCTTCCTTTAGACGTTGTAGCTCTCCAGCCGTCGGAAAAAGATGCGTTAACAGCTAAATTCCCGAAGGACACATAAATCTCCCATAAGAAGAAAAACAATAAAACACACAGAAATCCACAGATGGGTTCCGAACATCTTGTTTCGGCAACCCGTCTGAAACCCATGAGTAATCCGTCGGGAAGCCATAAACACCTGTAATTAAATTATGGGGTATATCCGGGCCCCGGATCGGCATATCGTCATTAAACGCCCTCAAACACGGTTAGAACCAAAACCCGCCTTTTCATAAGGTAAATCGGTTATGTCCCAGAACTGGGTTCTGTCTAGGTTATATCTACAGCCCTTAAAATGACCCTCATAGGGCAGGTCCCCAAATTGCCGGGATCCACTCCCCGAACCCCCCTCAGCACCAGTAAGTCATCGCAACTTCTCACCCGACGCAAAAGTAACATTTTAGTAGGGAATATGGAAATAAAGTCCCTACAATCCCAAGAGAATATATTCCCCTATTCTCTGCTAATAAGGTTAGAGCCTGTTAGAGTTTTTCCGCACATGGGGGGGGGGGGGGGGGNNCCCGATATGTTCGAATCTGCACAATACCATAATCCTTGTTATACAAAGCCTTCCAAAAAAGGGGGGCCCTGATTTTTCGGAGATCCCATGATCTGACTTGTGGTTGAATTCTATTGCTAGGATTAAGTCAGGTTTAGGGTTTTGGATTGTGGTTGGGGGTTTAGGGTATAGGGTT